TTTCTGATCTGCAGGAGTTCTCCAGAGTTTCCAGGCTGAATAGAATGGGCTCAATAGTTCCACCTCAAGAAATAAATAAAAATAAAATATATAGATATATTCATTCTTTTGGTGTCAATCTCCACAAAAGTTCATTAATATATCCATTTAATTGGTAATAATGTGAAATATATATTATTTCCACTTGTTTCCTTAGAACTAGCAGATACTCATATGGTGTAATGTGTAGTTCAGCCCTGATGAAATTGCTATTAGTGAAGTAGAATTCTGTATATTCTGTACTGACTGATCTGATTCCTTCCATTCATGCCATATGACACCCATACTGAGATCCTTTGAAAACCAATACACATCTGGGTATACCAAGAAGGAATGGGAAGAGAGAAGGCTAAATGACTCTTAGGACTTGTAATCAGCCCAACTACCAGGCATCTGTATCTCTTAATCCCTGTCCACAACAATGATATTGCAGCTAATTCTTGAGAAACCTGTGTAAATAGGAAAAAAGAAAGAAAAGAAAATAGATGCAAATAACAAGCTATGTGCAGTTCTGAATATGAGTAGCTACTCTGAAATCTAGTCCTACTTCTTCTTGACTTGGAATATTAGCTTGTTCCATTTTGCAGCCAAAGCTGAAAGAATGAATAAATTATCTCAATCCATTTGTGTGAATGAAGTTTCTTCACACAAACGTTGAGAGGTTTTACACACTTCCTCCCTTGCTTTCTCTCACTGTGACTCTCCTGCACAGTAATATGTGGCTGAGTCTGCAGCTGTCAGGGATTTCATTGTCAAGTAACATTCATTCTTGGAGTCATCGGCTGTCAAGGTCGTTCGACTTTGGAGGGATGAGGCATAGTCTGTACTCCATTTACCCTCCACCAAGGCTATGTCACCCACCCATTCCAATCCTTTTCCTGGAGCCTGGCGGATCCATGCCAAGGTATATTCTCAATGGATTCCCCTGTCACTTTGCAAGTTAATCTGAAGGATCCTCCAGGGCTCACTCTTCCTGGCCCAGATTCCACAAGTTGGATGGTGGAGTGGACATCTAAGCGAATGAGAAAGTAATAATTAGTAAATAACTCTGCTTTTATTTTACCTCATTGTTCAGGGTCTATCTGGAAGATACTCACACAGAGGAGCTGCTACTAAGCAAAGAAGTAGAATGGCAGGTTCCATGGGGCAGTGAGAAAACAACCCTTCTTTTACTGCAGTGACACCTTTGGGTCTGGGATGCTCTTTTGTGTATTTGTGATTATTTAAAGGAGAAACAGCTCAGTGACCTCATTTGCATCTCAGTTTCATGGGGAAGATAAAATCAGTTTATAAGAAAGAAAGGCTATATCTAACAAACCATCACTGTCTACAATTTGAACTTTGACAGTGATTTTCATATCTACATCCCCAAATATTTGTCCTGATTTAGATAAATTTATGATATTATCAATAAATTAAGGGCTAAGAAACATGAGTGGTGAAATGAGAGGGACAGGGTCAGGAATAAGTGGACTGAGTAAATATCAACCTGGACTGAATATGAAATAGAAATGCAGTGTTCACTGTATGAACAAAAAGTGGCTTTTTCATATAGATTGAATGGATGAAGGTTGATGTACAGAATGAAGAAACAATGTGAGAATCTGAATTAATAAAGCTGTTTTTTATTAGAAAAAAAATTGCAGAACTGCTGGGTGAAATAAACAGATTCACTTCCTCTCACTGTTTGTCTCTCTCACACAGTAATAGATCGCCATGTCCTCTGGTTTGAGGCTGTTCATTTGCAGATACAGCTGGATTTTGGCGTCATCCATGGAAATGGTGAATGGTGTCAGAGTGTTTTTTGTCCATCAATTTCGATGAAGACCTTGATATCTTGTGGGTTATGGGTTATGGGCTATCAACGATGTGTCCGTAGGTGGCTGATAAGACCGATGTTAGCATGGAATGTTCTGCCACATACTGAACAAAGAAGTGTAGACACTGTTAATTCAGCATTTGCAGCTCTGGCTTTGCGGAGTGCTCGCTTTTCTTGTGCCAAGATTGTCCTTCTGTGTTCATATATCTTGCAACCCTGGTACACCAAGGTGCGCCATGTCGGTCGATCATGCGCCAGAAGTTCCCAAGAGATGGTATTAATATCCAGGGACTTGAGAAGCTTTTAACGTGTCTTTGTATCGCTTCTTTTGTCCCCCGTGTGATCGCTTTCCTTGAGACAGCTCACCATAGAAGAGCTATTTAGGGATGCGATGATCTGGCTTCCTTACAACATGGCCTGCCCAGCGCATCTGGGCTTTCATCAACAGAGTATAAACTGATGATAGACCTGCTCTGGAGAGGACATCTGTGTCTGGTATGTTATCCTGCCACCAGATCCTCAGAATTCTATGAAGGCAAGTTATGTGGAAGTAGTTCAGTTGCCTAACATGCCTCCTGTACACTGTCCAGGTCTCACTAGCATACAATAGGGTAGTTAGCACTGCTGCCTGGTAAACTTTAAGCTTGGTAGCAAGACTTATTCCACGGCGGTCCCACACGTTAGTCCGCAATCTGCCAAATGCAGAACTTGCCTTGGCAATTCTACAGTTGACCTCGATGTCAATTGTCACTGCACGGGAGAGGGTACTACCAAGATACGTAAATTGGTCCGCTGCTTGCAGCTTTTGTCCCTTTACTGTGATGGTAGGCTCTTGATATTGGGCTTTTGGAGCTGGCTGGTATATCACTTCAGTTTTCTTCGTGTTGATGAAGAGGCCAAAGTTGTCACAAGCGGCTGCGAATTTGTCCATGCTGGCTTGCATTTCCTGCTCCGATCCTGCATTAAGGGCACAGTCATCAGCAAAGAGGAGATCTCATAGCACAGTCTCCTTTACCTTGGTGACAGCCTGAAGTCTTCACAGGTTGAACAGTTTCCCATCGGTTCTGTACCTCAGATTAACTCCCATTGAGCTGTTCTGAAAGGCGTCTGACAGCATGGCTGAGAACATCATGCTGAACAGGGTTGGTGCCAGCACGCAGCCCTGCTTAATGCCATTATTAACAGGGAAGGCCTCTGAGGCTCCACCGTTACTAAGAACACAAGCCGCCATGCCATCATGGAACTGTCATACCATCAGGTGTCAGAGTAGTAAATATATGAAGATCATATACGTGCAACCCACTCCAGGCCTTTCCCTGGAACCTGTCTCATTGTGTCTCTCGCACAGTAATAGATGGCTGTGTCCTCTGGTTTGAGGCTGTTCATTTGCAGATACAGCTGGCTTTTGGCATCATCCCTGGAGATGGTGAAGCGTCCCTTCACTTTGTCAGAGTAGTAAATATCTGAAGACCATATATAAGCCACCCATTCCAGGCCTTTTCCTGGAACCTGTCCCACCCAGACCATCCAGTAGTTGCCAAAGGTGAATCCAGAGCCTTGGCAGGAGAGATGGAGGGACTCTCCAGGTCTTCTCCCCTCCCCTCCAGACTCCACTAACTGTACCTCAGATTGGACACCTAGAAAGAAAGGTTGTTTAATAAGACCTCCTGCAGGGAAACACAAGAAAATGGGGAATTATCTTTCTCTTTGGAGAGGAAAATAATAATACCTCTGAGGACAACTAACAAGGACATGAGGTTTAGCCAGGATGCCATTTTTGGTAGCTCAAAACCTTGTAGGTTTCTTACTGATGGGAAAACATTCATACAAGCACTCAGCTTCGAGATGTTGAGTGCAGCAGGAGAATATTAAGATATGGTTCCTTTCAAGAGGAAGCTGTCACTGAATTTACAGTAATTAGCCCTCGGATAAAAGAGATACTCACTGCTTTGAGTTTCTAGAGTGCCTTCATCCCACATTGTGGACATGCTGAAAATAGTCCTAATGTCAAATAAAGTATATTCATTTTAATCCTTAAGAAACATGTAAAGCAACAGCTTGATTTTGTCAGAAGGAAAAACATAACTTGAAAATTCAATATGCTGCATCATTTGGGGAACTGTACTGCTAGTCGAGAACTGATTGTTAGTTCTCTGTATGATGGAGATGTAAATAAAATTTAGTGGAACTATTTCCCACATTTCCAAGGAAAGAAATTGAGTCAAAACTGAAATCCATACTTTAGATAGTCCCATAAGTAAGCATCTATTAAGGACACACTTTCTTACCTTGTGGCAATTTTTTAGATACTTCTCAAAATATGGTTATTGCTGCAGTTTGTAATCCATTGGATCTTTTACTTTATCCATCCATCTCTCTCTCTCTCTCTCTCTCTCTTTCTCTCTCTCTCTCATGCTTCAAATTTATTTTTTTATATATAGAAGCAAAGAACATGATTTACACTTTTTTATTTGCTCTGTGCTCCCAATCTGAGGGACAACCAGCTTTTTTTCCTGATCTGACCGATAGTGTAGAGCCAATTCCAATATACAGAGGAATTCTGTTGTTCATTCTCTGCCAAGCCAAAGATTGGCATAGGTTGAAATCAGCACATTAAATTCTCCTTGGAAGATAATCGGCAGTCATGGCATGGTGTGCAGCTCAGGAAATAAATAGAAATAAAATTGGTATGATATATTTATTGACTTGGAATCAGTCTCCAGAAAGTTTCATTATGAAAATATTTAATATATCCATTTAATTGGCAATAATGCAAAATATACATTATAAGCACTTGTTTCATGAGAACTAGCAGAAACTCATATTCTCAGATGTAATGTGAAGTTCAGCCCTAATGAAACAGCTATCAATGAAGCAGAATTCTGTTTAGTGACTGATCAGATCTTTTCCATTCCTACCATCTCACATTCATATTGTCCTGACTTGAAAACCAGTAGACATGTGGATATACTGAAGAGGAATAAAAAGGTTTACCTAACTCTTAGGACTTAGATAAATCTATGATAACATTACAAAATTAAGAACCAAGAAATATGGGTGGTGAAATGAAAGGGTTAGGGTCAAGAATAAGTAGACTGAGTAAATATCTTGGATTGAATATGAAATTGAAATCTGGTGGTCACTAAATGAACAAAAAGAGGTCTGTTCCTATAGATTGAATGGATGAAGGTTCGTGTACAGAATGAAGGCATGAAGGGAGAATCTGAATTAATGAACCTGTTTTTTTCTTAGAAAAGAAATTTGCAGAACCACTGGACGAAATAGGCAGTTTTTGCTTGGCTTCACATATACTTCCTCTCATTGTGTCTCTCGCACAGTAATAGATGGCTGTGTCCTCTGGTTTGAGGCTGTTCATTTGCAGATACAGCTGGCTTTTGGCATCATTCCTGGAGATGGTGAAGCGTCCCTTCACTTTGTCAGAGTAGTAAATATCTGAAGACCATATATAAGCCACCCATTCCAGACCTTTCCCTGGAGCCTGTCTCACCCAGACCATCTCATAGCTGCTGAAGGTGAATCCAGAGGCTTGGCAGGAGAGACGGAGGGTCTCTCCAGGTCTTCTTACATCCCCTCCAGACTCCACCAACTGAATCTCAGATTGGACACCTAGAAAGAAAGGTTGTTTAATAAGACCTCCTGCAGGGAAACTTAAGAAACTGAGGAATAATCCCTCTCTTTGGAGGGGAAAATAATACCTCTGAGGACAACTAACAAGGACAGAAGGTTTAGCCAGAGTGCCATTTTTCGTTGCTGAAAACCTTGGTGAATTCTTACTGATGGGAAAACATTCAGTCAAGCAGTCAATCCTTGAGATCTTGAGTGGAGCAGGAGAATAGAAAGATATGGTCCCTTTTAACAGGAAGCTGTCACTGAATTTACATAGCCCTCAGGATAAAAGAGATACACACTGCTTTGTCTTTCTAGAGTGTCTTCATCCTCCATTGTAGACATGACTGACAATGTCCCAACATCAGTTAAAGTATATTTATTTTAATCCATATGCGAGCATCTATTAAGGATACACCTTCTTACCTTGCAGCATTTTTTTAGATACTTCTGAAAATATGATTATTATTGTAGTTTGCAATGCATGGCATCTGTTACTTTATCCATCTCTCTCTCTCTCATGCTTCATATTTATTTTTTTTTATATACAAGTATAGAAACAAAAAACATGATCTACACTTTTGTATTTTGTCTGCCCTCCCCAATAGGGGGGACAACCAGCTTTTTTCCCCTGACCTAATCAATAGTGAAGATCCACTTCCAATGGACAGAGAAATTATTTAGCTCACTCTGGGCCAAGCCAAAGGTTTGCATAGGTTGAAATCAGCACATTAAATTGCCCTTGGGATCAGAGGTCATTGCATAGTCTGCAAAATTTATTTAATATGTGCCCACCAGAAGGATATCAGGCTTAATAGCAGTTAGCCACTGAGGAATGAATTGAACCATTCAAAACAGACCTCCAAAAACCTAGTTCCACAGACTGTCCAGCAGAATATGACAGTTGATATCTATTTTATGTTTCTTGTTGTTTCCACTGCTTTCAAAACATTCTTCCTTTCCTTCCAATACTCTTCCAATTCCTTCCTTTGTGATTCCCTTCCCTTCCTCAGCATTGGCAGTCTATGAGTGACGATTCACCAATATACTGCTAGGTTTCTTCCATGCATTTTTTTTCATGTATCTGTCATGCCCATCTGTAGATAAGAATAAATAAAAGAGGACAGGTAATGAACAAAGAGAGAGAAATTGTTTCAAAGATATCAAACTTGGTCTGCAAATGAAAAAGGGATGCGATTTTATCTCAGAGCTAAAAATATGTTGCTGAGTCTGCAGAAGTCAGAACTTCATTGTCAAATATAATGAACTTCATTGTCATTAACAGTTTTTACATGGCTTCACATATAGTTCCTCTCACTGTGTCTCTCGCACAGTAATAGACTGCTGTGTCTTCAGCTTTCAGGCTGTTCATTTGCAGATACAGCTGGCTTTTGGCATCGTCCCTGGAGATGGTGAAGCGACCCTTCACTTTGTCGGAGTAGTAAATATATGAAGAATATATTCTTGCCACCCATTCCAGGCCTTTCCCTGGAGCCTGTCTCACCCAGCTCATCCAGTAGCTGCTGAAAGTGAATCCAGAGGCTTGGCAGGAGAGACGGAGGGATTCTTCAGGTCTTCTCACATCCCCTCCAGTTTCCACCAACTGAACCTCAGATTGAGCACCTAGAAAGAAAGTTTGTTTAATAAGACTTCCTGCAGGTAAACCCAAGAAACTGACGAATAACCACTCTTTTCTGAGGGGAAAATAATACCTCCAAGAACAACTAACAAGGACATGATATTTAGCCAGAGTGCCATTTTTGCTCGCTCAAAAGTGTGAAGGATTCTTACTGATGGAAAAATATTCAGACAAGCACTCAACCCCTGTTTTTGAGTACAGCAGGAGAGCAGGATGATATGGTTCCTTTGAACAGGAAGCTGTCACTGAATTTACATAGTCCTCAGGATAAAAGAACCACATGCAACTTTGACCTTATAGATTGCCTTCATCCTACATTGCAGACATGCTGAAAATAATCTTGTGTTGTTAATTGTGAAGTTGTGTCTGACCCATTGCGACCCCATGGACAATGTTCCTCCAGGTCTTCCTGTCCTCTACCATCTTCTGGAGTCCATTTAAGCTCAAAACTACTGCTTCAGTGACTCCATCCAGCCACCTCATTCTCTGTTGTCCCCTTGTTCTATTGCCCTCAATCTTTCCCAACATTAGGCCCTTCTCCAGTGAGTCCTCCCTTCTCATGACCTAACATGAGTTAAATATATTTATTTCAATCCTTAAGAAACATGAAAAGCAACCGGTTCATTTTCTCAGAAGGAAAGTCATATCTTGAAAAATCATTGTAATGCATTATTTGAGCATTTTGGTAATATTAAAGCTGGTAGAGAACTAATTGGCTAGTTCTCTGAATGATGGAGATGTACATCTCATTTAGTGGAACTAATTCCCACAGTTGCAAGTAAATAAATTCAGTCAAAATTGAAATCCATATGTTATCCAGAGTCCCCTAAGTGAGCATCTATCAAGAATACACTTTCTTAGCTGTTGTAGCAATTTTTCAGATACTTCTCAAAATATGGTTATTGTTGTACTTTTTAATCTGTAGCATCTATTAATTTTTCCATCTCTCTCTTCAGGCTTCAAATTTATTTTTTACACAAATATAGAAGCGAAAAACATCGCTTACACTTTTGTATTTTCTCTGCCCTCCCCAATATGCGGGACAACCAGCTTTTTTTCCCTGACCTAGTCAATAGCATAGATCCAGTTCCAATGGACAGAGGAATTCTTTAGCTCATTCTATGCCAAGCCAAATGTTTGCATAGGTTGAACTCAGCACATTAAATTTCCCTTGGAATTAGAGATCATTGCATGGTCTGAAAAAATTATTTAATATGTGCCCATCAGAAGCATATCAGGATTATTAGGAGTTAGCCACTGAGGAAAGAATTAAACATTAAAAAGAGACCTCCAAAAACCTAGTTCCACAGACTGTCGAGCAGAATATGACAATTGATATCTATTTTATGTTTGTTGTTGTTTCCAGTGCTTTCACAACATTCTTTCTTCCCTTCCAATTCCTTTCTGATTCCTTTGTCATTCCCTTCCCTTCCTCAGCATTGGCAGTCTATGAGTGACGATTCACCAATACACATCTAGGTTTCTTCCATCCTTCTTTTTCATGTTTCTATCATGCCCATCTATAGATAAGAATAAATAAAAGAGGACAGGCAGTGAACAAAGAGAGAGGAATTGTTTCCAACATATCAAGCTTGGTCTGCAAATGAAAAAGAAAGAAAGGGAAGCAATTTTATCTCAGAGCTAAAAATATGTTGCTGAGTCTGCAGAGGTCAGGAACTTCATTGTCAAATATAATTCATTGCGGGAGTCATCAGCTGTCAAGGTTGTTGGATGTTGGAGGGATGAGGCATAGGACTACTCCAGTTATCACCATCCCACACAATCCTGCTTTTGTTTTAACTCATTGCTCAGGTCTACCTGAAACATAAAGCAAAGAAGGAAAGAAGATGAAGAATGGCAAAATCCACTGAAGAGTGAGAAATACAACCTTTCCTTTAGCCCAATCAGAACATTGAGTCTGTGAAGCTCTTTTGAGTGTTTGTGATTGTTTAAAGGAGGAACATCTCAGTGATTCATTGGCATCTGAGTTTCAGGGGGAAGATAAAACCAGTTTATAAGAAAGGTAGGTTAAGTCGATCAATTTGTCCCAGCTCAGACGTTGGACATTGACTGTTGTTTTCAACACCAAACTTTTTTTTCCTGATTTAATTTAGATAAATTTATGATAACATTACTAAATTAAGGGCTAAGAAAGATGGGTGATGAGAGACAGGGTGACAGGAATTAGTAGATTGAATACATATCAAACTGGATTGAATATAAAATTGAAATGTGGCCTTTATTACATTTAAAAAAAAGAGGATCATTCCTATAGACTGAATGGATCCTATAGACAGAATGGATCACAGTAGTGAATATATGAGTAGTGAATATATACCTGCCACCTATTCCAGTCCTTTCCCTGGAGCCTGTGAGGAGAACTAACAAGGACATGAGGTTTACCCAGAGTGCCATTTTTGCTTTCTCAAACGTTTTGAGGATTTTTAACGAAGGGAAAACATTTAGACAAGCACTCAGCTTTTGAGATGTTGACTGCAGCAGGAAATCAGGATGAGTACAGCAGTAAGCTATCATTGGTGGTGAAATGATAGGGAGAGGATCAAGAATGAGTAGACTGAGTAAATATTAAACTGGATTGACGATGAAATTGAAGTGTGGTGCTCAATACATGAAGTAAAAAGAAGCTCATTTCTATAGACCAAATGGATGAAGGTGGAAGTGCCGAATGAAGATATGAAAGGAGAATCTGAGGAGAATAAAGTGGTTTTTTATTACAAAAGAAATTTTCAGGGCTGCTGTGTGAAATGGGCAGTTTTTGCGTGACTTCACATATAGTTCCTCTCACTGTGTCTCTCACACAGTAATAGACTGCCGTGTCTTCAGCTTTGAGGCTGTTCATTTGCAGATACAGCTGGCTTTTGGCATTGTCCCTGGAGATGGTGAAGCGGCCCTTCACTTTGTCAGGGTAGTAAGTATATGCGGCATCATTGCGTATCCTTGCCACCCATTCCACTCCTTTCCCTGGAGCCTGTCTTATCCAGCTCATCCAGTAGCTGCTGAAGGTGAATCCAGATCCTTGGCAGGAGAGACGGAGGGATTCTCCAGGTCTTCTCACATCCCCTCCAGTTTCCACCAACTGAACCTCAGATTGGGCACCTAGAAAGAAAGTTTGTTTAATAAGACTTCCTGCAGAGAAACAAAAGAAACTGAGGAACAACCACTCTTTTTGGAGGGGAAAATAATACCTCCAAGGAAAACTAACAAGGATATGATGTTTAGCCAGAGTGCCATTTTTGCTCGCTCAAAAGTGTGAACGATTCTTACTGATAGAAAAAATATTCAGACAAGCACTCAACCTTTAAGTTTTTGAGTGCAGCAGAAGACCAGGATGATATGGTTCCTTTGAACAGGAAGCTGTCACTGAATTTACATAGTCCTCAGGATAAAATAACCACATGCAGCTTTGATCTTCTAGGTTGCCTTCATCCTACATGGTAGACATGCTGAAAATGACCTAACATGAGTTAAATATATTTATTTTAATCCTTAATAATCATGAAAAGCAAAAGATTGATTTTCTCAGAAGGAAAGCCATATCTTGAAAAATCATCGTAATGCATTATTTGAGCATTTTGGTAATGTTAAAGCTGGTAGAGAACTGATTTCCTAGTTCTCTGCATGATGGAGATGTACATCACATTTAGTGGAATTGAAAAATTTAAATCCATATGTTATCCAGAGTTTCTGAAGTTAGTGTCTATCAAAAATACACTTCCTTACTTTTTGTACCAATTTTTCAGATACTTCTCAAAATATGGGTATTGTTGTAGTTTGTAATCCATGGCATCTTTTACTTTATCCATCTCTCTCATGCTTCAAATTTATTTTTCTTTTAAAAATAAAGAAGCAAAAAACATGGCTAACACCTTTGTATTTGCTCTGCCTTCCCCAATTTGGGGGATCAGCAGTTTCTTTTCCTGATCTGACCAATAGTGAAGAGCCAATGTCAATGGACAGAGGAAGTTTTCATCTTATTCTCTGCCAAGACAAAGATGGGAATTGGTTGAAATAAGCACATTAAATTCCCCTTGGAAGATATTTGGAAATCATGGCATGGTCTGCAAAATTTGTATAATATGTGCCCACTGGAAGCATAACATTATTATTAGGACTTAGCCACCGAGGAAGGAATTGAACCATTCCAAACAGACCTCCCAAAACCTATTTCTACAGACTGTCCAGCAGAATATGAGAGTTGATAACTATGTTGTGGTTGTTGTTGTTTCCACTGGTCTGCAAATGAAAAAAAAAAAAGAAGAAAGTGAAGCAATTTTATCTCAGAGCTAAAAAAAGGAATTATGAGAAAGTCTCTTGGGAAAGGATGGTCTCCAGAGACCCATTGAATGACAAATCTGAAGGAGAAGAGAAAACCATCTGGCTAACAGATGAAACGACACTTTCAATTGGGTTAAGTGGAGAATGTTAATTTTTTAGACACTGCTGCCCTCTCCTGCAAAGCAGATGGAAGGCTACCATCAGGCTCATTGTAAAGGTAAGAAAATAGGGCTTGGGATAGTGTTTCTGATCTGCAGGAGTTCTCCAGAGTTTTCAGGCTGAATAGAATGGGCTCAATAGCTCCACCTCAAGAAATAAATAAAAATAAAATATATAGATATATTCATTCTTTTGGTGTCAATCTCCGCAAAGGTTCATTAATATATCCATTTAATGGGTAATAATGTGAAATATACATTATTTCCACTTGTTTCCTTAGAACTAGCAGATACTCGTATGGTGTAATGTGTAGTTCAGCCCTGATGAAATTGCTATTAGTGAAGTAGAATTCTGTATATTCTGTACTGACTGATCTGATTCCTTCCATTCGTACTACATGACACCCATACTGAGCTCCTTTGAAAACCAATACACATCTAGGTATACCAAGAAGGAATGGAAAGAGAGAAGGCTAAATGACTCTTAGGACTTGTAATCAACCCAACTACCAGGCATCTGTATCTCTTAATCCCTGTCCACAACAATGATGTTGCAGCTAATTCTTGAGAAACCTGTGTAAATAGGAAAAAAGAAAGAGAAAAGAAAATAGATGCAAATAACAAGCTATGTGCAGTTCTGAATATGAATAGCTACTCTGAAATCTAGTCCTACTTCTTCTTGACTTGGAATATAGCTTGTTCCATTTTGCAGCCAAAGCTGAAAGAATAAATAAATTATCTCAATCCATTTGTGTGAATGAATAAAGTTTCTTCAGACAAAAGCTGAGAGGTTTTACACACTTCCTCCCTTGCTTTCTCTCACTGTGACTCTCCTGCACAGTAATATGTGGCTGAGTCTGCAGCTGTCAGGGATTTCATTGTCAAGTAACATTCATTCTTGGAGTCATCGGCTGTCAAGGTCGTTCGACTTTGGAGGGATGAGGCATAGCTGTACTCCATTCACCCATCTTCCAAGCTATGGTCACCCACCCATTCCAATCCTTTTCCTGGAGCCTGGCGGATCCATGCCAAGGCTATATTCTCAATGGATTGCCCTGTCACTTTGCAAGTTAATCTGAAGGATCCTCCAGGGCTCACTCTTCCTGGCCCAGATTCCACAAGTTGGATGGTGGAGTGGACATCTAAGCGAATGAGAAAGTAATAATTAGTAAATAACTCTGCTTTTGTTTTATCTCATTGTTCAGGGTCTATCTGGAAGATACTCACACACAGGAGCTGCTACTAAGCAAAGAAGTACAATGGCAGGCTCCATGGGGCAGTGAGAAAACACGCCTTCTTTTACTGCACTGACACCTTTGGGTCTGGGATGCTCTTTTGTGTATTTGTGATTATTTAAAGGAGAAACAGCTCAGTGCCCTCATTTGCATCTGGGTTTCATGGGGAAGATAAAATCAGTTTATAAGAAAGAAAGGCTATATCTAACAAACCATCACTGTCTACAATTTGAACTTTGACAGTGATTTTCATATCTACATCCCCAAATATTTGTCCTGATTTAGATAAATTTATGATATTATCAATAAATAAAAGGCTAAGAAATATGAATGGTAAAATGAGAGGGACAGGGTCAGGAATAGGTGGACTGAGTAAATATCAACCTGAACTGAGTATGCAATTGAAATGCAATGTTCACTATATGAACAAAAAGAGGCTTGTTCACATAGATTGAATGGATGAAGACACAAAGGAAGAATCTGAATTAATAACACTGTTTTTTATTAGATTTTTTTTTTTTTTTTGCAGAACTGCTGGGTGAAATAGGCAGTTTTTGCTTGGTGTAATATGTGCCCAGTGGGAAGGACATATTACACCAGTTAGCAAACAAGGAAAGAATTAAAACATTCAAAAAAAAAAAAAAAAAAACCACTACCCCCCCAATACTCAGTTCTAGCCTGTCCAGCAGAATATGACAGTTGATAACAATTTTGTGGTTGTTGTTGTTTCCACTGCTTGGAAACATTTTTCCTTTCCTTCCAATTCCCTTCCAATTCCTTTCCAATTCGCTTCTAATTTCCTTTCCTTCCCTTCCCTTCCCTTCCCTTCCCTTCCCTTCCCTTCCTCAGCACTGGCAAACTCTGAAGGATGATTCATCAAAACACTGCTAGGTTTGTTCCATGCAATATTTTTTCATGTTTCTATCATCCTCATCTGTAGTTATGAATAAGTATAGAGGGCGGGCAGTCACCAAAGAGAGAGGAACTGATTCAAACATATCAAGTTTGGTCTTCAAATGAAAAAGAAAGAAAGAGAGAGAAATTTACCTCTGAGTTTAAAAAAAATAAAGAATTATGAGAAAGTCTCTTGGGGAAAGATGGTCTCCAGAGACCTATTGAGTAATAATTCAGAAGCAGCAGAGGAAACCATCTGGAACCACACTTTCATTTGTGTTAAGTGGAGAATGTCAGTTTGTTGGACTCTGCTTCCCTCTTGTGCAATGCAGGCAGAAGGGAGCCATCAGGCTCATTATAAAGGTAAGAAAATAGGGCTTGGGACAATTTTTCTGCTCTCCAAGAGTTCTCCACGGTTTCCAGACTGAATAGAATGAGCTCAATAGCCACAGCTCAGGAAATAAATAAAAATAAAATGGATATGATATATTTATTGACTTGGAATCAGTCTCCAGAAAGTTTCATTATGAAAATATTTAATATATCCATTTAATTGGCAATAATGCAAAATATACATTATAAGCACTTGTTTCCTGAGAACTAGCAGAAACTCAAATTCTCAGATGTAATGTGAAGTTCAGCCCTAATGAAACAGCTATCAATGAAGCAGAATTCTCTTTAGTGACTGATCAGATCTTTTCCATTCCTACCATCTCACATTCATATTGTCCTGACTTGAAAACCAGTAGACATGTGGATATACTGAAGAGGAATAAAAAGGTTTACCTAACTCTTAGGACTTAGATAAATCTATGATAACATTACTAAATTAAGAACCAAGAAATATGGGTGGTGAAATGAAAGGATTAGGGTCAAGAATAAATAGACTGAGTAAATATCCTGGATTGAATATGAAATTGAAATCTGGTGTTCACTAAATGAACAAAAAGAGACCTGTTCCTATAGATTGAATGGATGAAGGTTGGTGTACAGAATGAAGGCATGAAGGGAGAATCTGAATTAATGAACCTGTTTTTTTCTTAGAAAAGAAATTTGCAGAACCACTGGACGAAATAGGCAGTTTTTGATTGGCTTCACATATACTTCCTCTCACTGTGTCTCTCGCACAGTAATAGATGGCTGTGTCCTCTGGTTTGAGGCTGTTCATTTGCAGATACAGTTGGCTTTTGGCATCGTCCCTGGAGATGGTGAAGCGTCCCTTCACTTTGTCAGAGTAGTAAATATTTGAAGACCATATATAAGCCACCCATTCCAGTCCTTTCCCTGGAGCCTGTCTCACCCAGACCATCTCATAGCTGCTGAAGGAGAATCCAGAGGCTTGGCAGGAGAGATGGATAGACTCTCCAGGTCTTCTCACATCCCCTCCAGACTCCACTAACTGAGCCTCAGATTGGACACCTAGAAAGAAAGGTTGTTTAATAAGACCTCCTGCAGGGAAACACAAGAAACTGAAGAATAATCCCTCTCTTTGGAGGGGAAAATAATACCTCTGAGGACAACTAACAAGGACAGAAGGTTTAGCCAGAGTGCCATTTTTGGTTGCTGAAAACCTTGGTGAATTCTTACTGATGGGAAAACATTCAGTCAAGCACTCAACCTTTGAGATCTTGAGTGGAGCAGGAGAATAGAAATATATGGTCCCTTTTAACAGGAAGCTGTAACTGAATTTACATAGCCCTCAGGATAAAAGAGATACACATTGCTTTGTCCTTCTAGACCAGTGGTTCTCAACCTTTCTAATGCCGTGACCCCATAATACAGTTCCCCATGTTGTGGTGACCCCCAAGTGGGTATGGCCACCAATAAGAGGGAGTAGGACAGCTAGGGAAAAGGCAAAAAATGGCGGACAGCGTGGTTTGGCGACCCCCGTGAAATGGTCATTTGACCCCAAATGGGGTCCCGACCCACAGGTTGAGAACCACTGTTCTAGACTGTCTTCATCCCGCATTGTAGACATGACTGATAATGTCCCAGTATCAGTTGAAATATATTTATTTTAATCCATATGTGAGAATCTATTAAGGATACACCTACTTACCTTGTAGCATTTTTTTAGATATTTCTGAAAATATAGTTATTGTTGTAGTTTGTTATGCATGGCATCTGTTACTTTATCCATCTCTGTCATGCTTCAAATTTATTTTTTTATACAAGTATAGAAGCAAAAAACATGATTTACACTTTTGTATTTCCTCTGCCCTCTCCAATAGGGGGGGCAACCAGCTTTCTTCTGCTGACCTAATCAATAGTGTAGATCCACTTCCAATGGACAGAGAAATTATTTAGCTCACTCTGGGCCAAGCCAAAGGTTTGCATAGGTTGAAATCAGCACATTAAATTGCCCTTGGAATCATTGCATAGTCTGCAAAATTTATTTAATATGTGCCCACCGGAAGGATATAAGGCTTAATAGGAGTTAGCCACTGAGGAAAGAATTGAACCCTTCAAAACAGACCTCCAAAAACCTGTAGAGCAGAATATGACAGTTGATATCTATTTTATGTTTGTTGTTGTTTCCACTGCTTTCAAAACATTCTTCCTTTCCTTCCAATTCCCTTCCAATTCCTTCCTTTGTGATTCCTTTCCCTTCCTCAGCATTGGCAGTCTATGAGTGATGATTCACAAATACACTGCTATGTTTCTTCCATGCATTTTTTTTCATGTTTCTATCATGCCCATCTGTAGATAAGAATAAATAAAAGAGGACAGGTAATGAACAAAGAGAGAGAAATTGTTTCAAAGATATCAAACTTGGTCTGCAAATGAAAAAGGGATGCGATTTTATCTCAGAGCTAAAAATATGTTGCTGAGTCTGCCGAAGTCAGAACTTCATTGTCAAATATAATTAACTTCATTGTCATTAACAGTTTTTGCATGGCTTCACATATAGTTCCTCTCACTGTGTCTCTCGCACAGTAATAGACTGCTGTGTCTTCAGCTTTCAGGCTGTTCATTTGCAGATACAGCTGGCTTTTGGCATTGTCCCTGGAGATGGTAAAGCGGCCCTTCACTTTGTCAGAGTAGTAAATATATGCAGAATCAGAGCGTATACTTGCCACCCACTCCAGTCCTCTCCCTGGAGCCTGTCTCACCCAGCTCATCCAGTAGCTGCTGAAAGTAAATCCAGAGGCTTGGCAGGAGAGACGCAGGGACTCTCCAGGTCTTCTCACATCCCCTCCAGTTTCCACCAACTGAACCTCAGATTGAGCACCTAGAAAGAAAGTTTGTTTAATAAGACTTCCTGCAGGTAAACCCAAGAAACTGAGGAATAACCACTCTTTTCTGAGGGGAAAATAATACCTCCAAGGACAACTAACAAGGACATGATATTTAGCCAGAGTGCCATTTTTGCTCGCTCAAAAGTGTGAAGGATTCTTACTGATGGAAAAATATTCAGACAAGCACTCAACCCCTGTTTTTGAGTACAGCAGGAGAGCAGGATGTTATGGTTCCTTTGAACAGGAAGCTGTCACTGAATTTACATAGTCCTCAGGATAAAAGAACCACATGCAGCTTTGACCTTCTAGATTGCCTTCATCCTACATGGTAGACATGCTGAAAATGACCTTTTGTTGTTAATTGTGAAGTTGTGTCTGACCCATTGCGACCCCATGGACAATGTTCCTCCAGGTCTTCCTGTCCTCTACCATCTTCTGGAGTCCATTTAAGCTCAAGCCTACTGCTTCAGTGACTCCATCCAGCCACCTCATTCTCTGTCGTCCCCTTGTTCTATTGCCCTCCATCTTTCCCAGCATTAGGCCCTTCTCCAGTGAGTCCTTCCTTCTCATGACCTAACATGAGTTAAATATATTTATTTCAATCCTTAAGAAACATGAAAAGCAACAGGTTCATTTTCTCAGAAGGAAAGTCATATCATGAAAAATCATCGTAATGCATTATTTGAGCATTTTGGTAATATTAAAGCTGGTAGAGAACTGATTGGCTAGTTCTCTGAATGATGGAGATGTACATCACATTTAGTGGAACTACTTCCCACAGTTGCAAGTAAATAAATTCAGTCAAAATTGAAATCCATATGTTATCCAGAGTCCCCTAAGTTAGCGTCTATCAAGAATACACTTTCTTAGCTGTTGTAGCAATTTTTCAGATACTTCTCAAAATATGGTTATTGTTGTACTTTGTAATCTGTAGCATCTATTAATTTTTATATCTCTCTCTCAGGCTTCAAATTTATTTTTACACAAATATAGAAGCGAAAAACATCGCTTACACTTTTGTATTTTCTCTGCCCTCCCCAATATGCAGGACAACCAGCTTTTTTTCCCTGACCTAGTCAATAGCATAGATCCAGTTCCAATGGACAGAGGAATTCTTTAGCTCATTCTATGCCAAACCAAATGTTTGCATAGGTTGAAATCAGCACATTAAATTTCCCTTGGAATCAGAGATCATTGCATGGTCTGAAAAAATTATTTAATATGTGCCCATCAGAAGCATATCAGGATTATTAGGAGTTAGCCACTAAGGAAAGAATTAAACATTAAAAAGAGACCTCCAAAAACCTAGTTCCACAGACTGTCGAGCAGAATATGACAATTGATATCTATTTTATGTTTGTTGTTGTTTCCAGTGCTTTCACAACATTCTTTCTTCCCTTCCAATTCCTTTCTGATTCCTTTGTGATTCCCTTCCCTTCCTCAGCATTGGCAGTCTATGAGCGACGATTCACCAATATACTGCTAGGTTTCTTCCATCCTTTTTTTTTTCATGTTTCTATCATGCCCATCTATAGATAAGAATAAATAAAAGAGGACAGGCAGTGAACAAAGAGAGAGGAATTGTTTCAAACATATCAAACTTGGTCTGCAAATGAAAAAGAAAGAAAGGGAAGCAATTTTATCTCAGAGCTAAAAATAGGTTGCTGAGTCTGCAGAGGTCAGGGACTTCATTGTCAAATATAATTCATTGCGGGAGTCATCAGTTGTCAAGGTTGTTGGATGTTGGAGGGATGAGGCATAGGACTACTCCAGTTATCACCATCCCACACAATCCTGCTTTTGTTTTAACTCATTGTTCAGGTCTACCTGAAACATAAAGCAAAGATGGAAAGAAGATGAAGAATGGCAAAATCCACTGAAGAGTGAGAAATACAACATTTCCTTTAGCCCAATCAGAAAATTGGATCTGTGAAACTCTTTTGGGTGTTTGTGATTATTTAAAGGAGGAACATCTCAGTGATTTATTGGCATCTGAGTTTCAGGGGGAAGATAAAACCAGTTTATAAGAAAGGTAGGTTAAGTCGATCATTTTGTCCCAGCTCAGACATTCGACATTGACTGTTGTTTTCAACACCAAACTTTTTTTTCCTGATTTAATTTAGATAAATTTATGATAACATTACTAAATTAAGGGCTAAGAAAGATGGGTGATGAGAGACAGGGGGTCAGGAATTAGTAGATTGAATACATATCAAACTGGATTGAATATAAAATTGAAATATGGCCTTTATTACATTTAAAAAAAAAGAGGATCATTCCTATAGACTGAATGGATCCTATAGACAGAATGGATCAGAGTAGTGAATATATGAAGTCCATATACCTGCCACCTGTTCCAGTCCTTTCCCTGGAGCCTGTGAGGAGAACTAACAAGGACATGAGGTTTACCCAGAGTGCCATTTTTGCTTTCTCAAACATTTTGAGGATTTTTAACGAAGGGAAAACATTTAGACAAGCACTCAACTTTTGAGATGTTGAGTGCAGCAGGAAATCAGAATGAGTACAGCAGTAAGCTATCATTGGTGGTGAAATGATAGGGAGAGGATCAAGAATGAGTAGACTGAGTAAATATTAAACTGGATTGACGATGAAATTGAAGTGTGATGCTCAATACATGAACTAAAAAGAGGCTCATTTCTATAGACCAAATGGATGAAGGTTGAAGTGCAGAATGAAGACATGAAAGGAGAATCTGAGGAGAATAAAGTGGTTTTTTATTACAAAAGAAATTTGCAGGACTGCTATGTGAAATGGGCAGTTTTTGCGTGACTTCACATATAGTTCCTCTCACTGTGTCTCTCACACAGTAATAGACTGCTGTGTCTTCAGCTGTGAGGCTGTTCATTTGCAGATACAGCTGGCTTTTGGCATTGTCCCTGGAGATGGTGAAGCGGCCCTTCACTTTGTCAGGGTAGTAAGTATATGCAGCATCATAGCGTATCCTTGCCACCCATTCCAGGCCTTTCCCCGGAGCCTGTCTCACCCAGCTCTTCCAGTAGCTGCTGAACGTGTAGCCAGATCCTTGGCAGGAGAGATGGAGGGACTCTCCAGGTCTTCTTACATTATAATATAATATACATTATTTCCACTTCTTTCCTTAGAACTAGCAGATACTCATATGGCGTAATGTGTAGTTCAGCCCTGATGAAATTGCTATTAGTGAAGTAGAATTCTGTATATTCTGTACTGACTGATCTGATTCCTTCCATTCGTACTACATGACACCCATACTGAGCTCCTTCGAAAACCAATACACATCTGTGTATACCAAGAAGGAATGGAAAGAGAGAAGGCTAAATGACTCTTAGGACTTGTAATCAACCCAACTACCAGGGATCTGTATCTCTTAATCCCTGTCCACAACAATGATGTTGCAGCTAATTCTTGAGAAACCTGTGTAAATAGGAAAAAAGAAAGAGAAAAGAAAATAGATGCAAATAACAAGCTATGTGCAGTTCTGAATATGAATGGCTACTCTGAAATCTAGTCCTACTTCTTCTTGACTTGGAATAATAGCTTGTTCCATTTTGCAGCCAAAGCTGAAAGAATGAATAAATTATCTCAATCCATTTGTGTGAATGAAGTTTCTTCACCCCAACATTGAGAGGTTTTACACACTTCCTCCCTTGCTTTCTCTCACTGTGACTCTCCTGCACAGTAATATGTGGCTGAGTCTGCAGCTGTCAGGGATTTCATTGTCAAGTAACATTCATTCTTGGAGTCATCGGCTGTCAAGGTCGTTCGACTTTGGAGGGATGAGGCATAGACTGTTCTCCATTCACCCTCCACCAAGGCTATGTCACCCACCCATTCCAATCCTTTTCCTGGAGCCTGGCGGATCCATGCCAAGGCTATATTCTCAATGGATTCCCCTGTCACTTTGCAAGTTAATCTGAAGGATCCTCCAGGGCTCACTCTTCCTGGCCCAGATTCCACAAGTTGGATGGTGGAGTGGACATCTAAGCGAATGAGAAAGTAATAATTAGTAAATAACTATGCTTTTATTTTACCTCATTGTTCAGGGTCTATCTGGAAGATACTCACACACAGGAGCTGCTACTAAGCAAAGAAGTAGAATGGCAGGCTCCATGGGGCAGTGAGAAAACATGCCTTCTTTTACTGCACTGACACCTTTGGGTCTGGGATGCTCTTTTGTGTATTTGTGATTATTTAAAGGAGAAACAGCTCAGTGACCTCATTTGCATCTGGGTTTCATGGGGAAGATAAAATTTATATTTATAAGAAAGGAACTCTATATCTAACAAACCATCACTGTCTACAGTTTGAACTTTGACAATGATTTTCATATCTACATCACCAAATACTTATCCTGATTTAGATAAATTTATGATATTATCAATAAATTAAAGGCTAAGAAATATGGGTGGGGAAATGAAAGGGAGGGGGTCAGGAATAAGTGGACTGAGTAAATATCAACCTGAACTGAGCATGCAATTGAAATGCAATGTTCACTATATGAACAAAAAGAGACTTGTTCGAATAGATTGAATGGATCTGAATTAATAACGCTGTTTTTCATTAGAATTTTTTTTTTGCAGAACTGGTGGGTGAAACAGGCAGTTTTTGCTTAGTGTAATATGTGCCCACTGGGAAGCATTTCAGGATTTTCTGGAGTTAGCAAACAAGGAAACAATTAAAACATTCAAAACAAACACTACCCCCTCCCAATACTCAGTTCTAGCTTGTCCAGCAGAATATGATAGTTGATAGCAATTTTGTGGCTTGTTGTTGTTTCCACTGCTTGGAAACATTTTTCCTTTCCTTCCAATTCCCTTCCAATTCCTTTCCAATTCACTTCCTATTTCCTTCCCTTCCCTTCCCTTCCCTTCCCTTCCCTTCCGTATCCTTCCCTTCCTCAGCATTGGCAAACTCTGAAGGATGATTCATCAAAACACTGCTTGGTTTCTTCCATGCAATATTTTTTTCATGTTTCTATCATCCTCATCTGTAATTATGAATAAGTATAGAGGGCAGTCAGTCACCAAAGAGAGAAGAACTGATTCAAACATATCAAGTTTGGTCTTCAAATGAAAAAGAAAGAAAGAGAGAGAAATTTATCTCTGAGCTAAAAAAAAAATAAAGAATTATGAGAAAGTCTCTTGGGGAAAGATGGTCTCCAGAGAACTATTGAGTAATAATTCAGAAGCAGCAGAGGAAAACATCTTGAACCACACCTTCATTTGTGTTAAGTAGAGAAGGTCAGTTTGTTGGACTCTGCTTCCCTCTTGTGCAATGCAGGCAGAAGGGGGCCATCAATCTGGTTATAAAGGTAAGAAAATAGGGCTTGGGACAATTTTTCTGCTCTCCAAGAGTTCTCCAGGGTTTCCAGACTGAATAGAATGAGCTCAATAGCCGCAGCTCAGGAAATAAATAAAAATAAAATTGGTATGATACATTTATTGACTTGGAATCAGTCTCCAGAAAGTTTCATTATGAAAATATTTAATATATCCATTTAATTGGCAATAATGCAAAATATACATTATAAGCACTTGTTTCCTGAGAACTAGCAGAAACTCAAATTCTCAGATGTAATGTGAAGTTCAGCCCTAATGAAACAGCTATCAATGAAGCAGAATTCTCTTTAGTGACTGATCAGATCTTTTCCATTCCTACCATCTCACATTCATATTGTCCTGACTTGAAAACCAGTAGACATGTGGATATACTGAAGAGGAATAAAAAGGTTTACCTAACTCTTAGGACTTAGATAAATCTATGATAACATTACTAAATTAAGAACCAAGAAATATGGGTGGTGAAATGAAAGGATTAGGGTCAAGAATAAATAGACTGAGTAAATATCCTGGATTGAATATGAAATTGAAATCTGGTGTTCACTAAATGAACAAAAAGAGACCTGTTCCTATAGATTGAATGGATGAAGGTTGGTGTACAGAATGAAGGCATGAAGGGAGAATCTGAATTAATGAACCTGTTTTTTTCTTAGAAAAGAAATTTGCAGAACCACTGGACGAAATAGGCAGTTTTTGATTGGCTTCACATATACTTCCTCTCACTGTGTCTCTCGCACAGTAATAGATGGCTGTGTCCTCTGGTTTGAGGCTGTTCATTTGCAGATACAGTTGGCTTTTGGCATCGTCCCTGGAGATGGTGAAGCGTCCCTTCACTTTGTCAGAGTAGTAAATATTTGAAGACCATATATAAGCCACCCATTCCAGGCCTTTCCCTGGAGCCTGTCTCACCCAGACCATCTCATAGCTGCTGAAGGAGAATCCAGAGGCTTGGCAGGAGAGATGGATAGACTCTCCAGGTCTTCTCACATCCCCTCCAGACTCCACTAACTGAGCTTCAGATTGGACACCTAGAAAGAAAGTTTGTTTAATAAGACCTCCTACAGGGAAACTTAAGAAACTGAGGAATAATCCCTCTCTTTGGAGGCGAAAATAATACCTCTGAGGACAACTAACAAGGACAGGAGGTTTAGCCAGAGTGCCATTTTTGGTTGCTGAAAACCTTGGTGAATTCTTACTGATGGGAAAACATTCAGTCAAGCACTCAACCCTTGAGATCTTGAGTGGAGCAGGAGAACAGAAATATATGGTCCCTTTTAACAGGAAGCTGTAACTGAATTTACATAGCCCTCAGGATAAAAGAGATACACACTGCTTTGTCCTTCTAGACTGTCTTCATCCTGCATTGTAGACATGACTGACAATGTGCCAACATCAGTTAAAGTATATTTATTTTAATCCATATGAGAGCATCTATTAAAGACACACCTTCTTACGTTGCAGCATTTTTTTAGATACTTCTGAAAACATGATTATTATTGTAGGTTGCAATGCATGGCATCTGTTACTTTATCCATCTCTGTCATGCTTCAAATTTATTTTTTTTATACAAGTATAGAAGCAAAAAACATGATTTACAATTTTGTATTTCCTCTGCCCTCCCCAATAGGGGGGACAACCAGCTTTTTTCTGCTGACCTAATCAAAAGTGTAGATCCACTTCCAATGGACAGAGAAATTCTTTAGCTCACTCTGGGCCAAGCCCAAGGTTTGCATAGCTTGAAATCAGCATATTAAATTGGCCTTGGAATCAGAGGTCATTGTCTAGTCTGCAAAATTTATTTAATATGTGCCCACCGGAAGCATATCAGGCTTAATAGGAGTTAGCCACTGAGGAAAGAATTGAACCATTCAAAACAGACCTCCAAAAACCTAGTTCCACAGACTGTCCAGCAGAATATGACAGTTGATATCTATTTTATGTTTTTTTTTTTTATTTAATTTTTATTCATTAATACAATTAAAACAACAATGGACAAACATGACATTCCAGAGTGAATTTTTCTATCAGTTCCTATCATAGTACAAAAATTTTATAATTTTATAATTTTTTGTTCTTAACCTCTATATAAACCTCATCTTTTATACAATACAATTATATATACAATTATATGTACAGTTATGTATATCTTTTAGTTCTACCATTAGTTTGAAGTCCGAGCAGTTCTTAAGTCATACCAGCGGTAAAATTTGCCCCAGATTTCGAAGTATTCGTGTTCCGTTTTGTCTTTCATAATCATTGTAAGCCTGTCCATCTCAGCACATATTAAAATTTTATGCAGGATCTCTTCTTCCGTTGGGGTTTCCTTGTTCCTCCAATTTTGAGCAAAAACCAGCCTGGAGGCCGTTAAAATGTGTAGCATTAAATAAAATACGCCTTTGTCATGTTTTTGCGTAGTTAAACCTAATAGAAAGAGTTCTGGTTTTGGTTCTACCGCTTGCTCTAATATTTCTTCCAAGCAAATTTTAATCCTGTTCCAAAAATCACGAGCTCGCGTGCATTCCCACCACATATGATAGTAAGTTCCACTTTTCAAATTGCATTTCCAACATTTAGGGGAGACATTGGTATACATTTTAGACAATCTTGTGGGTGGGAGATGCCATCTATAAAACATTTTGTAAAGGTTCTCTTTGCATAGGTTGAAATCAGCATATTAAATTGGCCTTGGAATCAGAGGTCATTGTCTAGTCTGCAAAATTTATTTAATATGTGCCCACCGGAAGGATATCAGGCTTAATAGGAGTTAGCCACTGAGGAAAGAATTGAACCATTCAAAACAGACCTCCAAAAACCTAGTTCCACAGACTGTCCAGCAGAATATGACAGTTGATATCTATTTTATGTTTGTTGTTGTTTCCACTGCTTTCAAAACATTCTTCCTTTCCTTCCAATTCCCTTCCAATTCCTTCCTTTGTGATTCCCTTCCCTTCCTCAGCATTGGCAGTCTATGAGTGATGATTCACAAATACACTGCTGTGTTTCTTCCATGCATTTTTTTCATGTTTCTATCATGCCCATCTGTAGATAAGAATAAATAAAAGAGGACAAAGAGAGAGAAAATGTTTCAAAGATATCAAACTTGGTCTGCAAATGAAAAAGGGACACAATTTTATCTCAGAGCTAAAAATATGTTGCTGAATATGCAGAAGTCAGAACTTCATTGTCAAATATAATTAACTTCATTGTCATTAACAGTTTTTGCATGGCTTCACATATAGTTCCTCTCACTGTGTCTCTCACACAGTAATACGCTGCGGTGTCTTCAGCTTTCAGGCTGTTCATTTGCAGATACAGCTGGCTTTTGGCATTGTCCCTGGAGATGGTGAAGCAACCCTTCACTTTGTCGGAGTAGTAAATATATGAAGAATATATTCTTGCCACCCATTCCAGGCCTTTCCCTGGAGCCTGTCTCACCCAGCTCATAGCATAGCTGCTGAAGGTGAATCCAGAGGCTTGGCAGGAGAGATGGAGGGATTCTCCAGGTCTTCTCACATCCCCTCCAGTTTCCTCCAACTGAACCTCAGATTTAGCACCTAGAAAGAAAGTTTGTTTAATAAGACTTCCTGCAGGTAAACCCAAGAAACTGAGGAATAACCACTCTTTTCTGAGGGGAAAGTAATACCTCCAAGGACAACTAACAAGGACATGATATTTAGCCAGAGTGCCATTTTTGCTCGCTCAAAAGTGTGAAGGATTCTTACTGATGGAAAAATATTCAGACAAGCACTCAACCTTTAAGTTTTTGAGTGCAGCAGAAGACCAGGATGATATGGTTCCTTTGAACAGGAAGC